TTTTCTATTTCTAATTAAAATCCGAATTTACAAAAAATCCTAAAAATAAATTATAAAAATATAAAATTAAAATTATATCACAAGACGNGCATTCTTGGTTTCGAGTTGGAATGACCTTCACTGAATTTTATTGAAAGAAAGCTCTTTCATCCTAATCTCAACTATTGAAAAAGAGTTAAGGCGTAATATCTGGTTCTATCTTTCTGGTTCTCTCTTATAGCAATATATGAATTTAGCTTTTATATATATATATATATATATATAAAAGCTAAATTCATATATTGCTATAAGAGAGAACCAGAAAGATAGAACCAGATATTACGCCTTAACTCTTTTTCAATAGTTGAGATTAGGATGAAAGAGCTTTCTTTCAATAAAATTCAGTGAAGGTCATTCCAACTCGAAACCAAGAATGCTCTATTCGACATGGTTATTATGGAGGACATACCGATGTCTATAAGCCCGCAATTAGCTCAATAGAAAAAAATCATAAGCTTGAAAGAAAAGAAAAAAGAATCCTCGGATGATGCAGGCATCAGAGTATGTGAATATCAAAGTCAATACGAAAACTTCATTATAATTGTAACAGTAATAAATGTTCTAATAGGCAAAAGCGAAACACACGGTACAATTAAGCCCGAAAACCATATACAGAAAGATTGTTATAAAATGACATGGTGCTTCTGGATCAAGGAATAATGGCACATCTGCCAGAATATTGGATGTTTTTAAGTTTAATTATAGTAATGGCAGTTGTTATGATCATAAGGAGCAAACCAATAAAAGAAACAATAATGGCTCCTTCCCCATGGCTGCAGTATACATCAAATTTATCACAGATTTTCTTCCATCTTGCATGAGAATTCCCATCTTTACCAAGCTGCCCCATAAAAGCTGCTGCACTTGCTCCACCAGATACTAGTGCCACATTCATCTAGAGAATCCAAACAATTAAAAAGACATAATAAAGGATTAAATTATGATTAATGAAAAGGAAACATTTAATTCAAAATTGATAGAGGAAAAAAAAAAGGGCGCAACCGGTGCACGACACATATCGCGTTTACGCAGGGTCCGGAGAAGGGTTGTACCTCAAATGGATGTGATGTAGGCAGCCTGATGCAAGCATCAGTAGCTGATTCTACGGCTCGAACCCGTGACCTAGGTCACACGGAAACAACTTTACCGTTGCTCCAAGGGGAAAATTCCTTTTTTTTCAATGGGGAAGTAGTGATAATTAAATGGATTGATCGATTACCATGTCTAGGACACCAATCACATAAAAACGAAGTCCCTTGAAATCATATTTGCTTCCAATAAAACAAGCTGCTAACATGAGCAAGTTATGGAGACTGCACAGTCCGTTTGCTATCACAAAGAACCTGCATATATATATCCACAAGTTGAATCACCACCCTAGCTATATTATACTAGTAATATTTTTCTCCAATTATAAGAGTGATATTTCAAAAATAATGTAACTATGCTTTTATTGAGCCGATGGTCTATTGGAAATAAGCTCTCAACTTTTACAAGGTAGGGTAAGGTCTGCGTACACATTACCCTCCCGGGACTCCACTTACGGGATTACACGGGGTTTATTGTTATTGTTGTTGTTATAAAAGTGATAGAAAAAGAGTTTTATAAGTTTAACAAGAATTTAATTTATGCGTACCGACAATAGAAAAAAATTACAAAAAAGACTTATAAGATAATGAGAAATTAAAGGGCTTACACAAAAGCAGGAGTGTGCTGGAACTTAGCAGTGAGGGTGGCTTGAATAGGAGTGGTACCAATTGTAGCAACAACAAAAGTTTTCTTTTGCTTGTTAAGTGCCATAACTAATGTTGCTGAAATTGTTGCACCAAATGCCAATAACCTCAACAATGCAATCACCCAATTATAATAATCTTTAGGCTTATAATTACTTGTGTTGTTATTTTTCCCTACTAATTGCTGGTTGTTGCTTTCTGCAGCCACAGCTGGTTTTTCTCCATTTTCTTGAGCCATTTTGTGTTTTCTTAATTTCTGATATGCAGCTACTCATGACAGTTGATTCATATATATAAAGATAGCCAATGGCACTTTCTTTTATTATTTTACTTTTTACGTCATCAAAGGTTAATCAGTTGGTGGGAAAATGGAAGTCTTATTGTATATAAAGTATGGGACAAGTTTAGACATGATCTTCGAGTAGGTATATTGTGAGGTGATTATGCGTGGAAAACTGAGATATTAAACCAACTAGTTAAATACATGGGATTTTTTTGCCCGGGGGTGGTGAGAGAAATATTTTACCTTAATATTGTTGTTGAACAAAAAGTTCAAAAAAATTAATATCTTTCATTTGATTGACAATCGTACGCACTCTCAAAGAAATAAGTTCCAATCGTTAATTTCTTACCAGCAATTCAATTTATAGTAAAAGGCTCTTACGATTTAGCTCATGCTTGCAAGATTTATATTGTTTTTTAGTTTCATCCTTTAGGTTAGAATTTCTTTCAGATGGGAACCTTTGTTGTCAACTCTAGTCTAACAAACTTGAAATTTACTTCCAGAAACTCAGAAATAAAAAGTGTATTTTATCCAAAATCAGATAATATAATATGACCATATCATGCCGATATTAATCAAAGACAAATTCCGTGTCCGTAAGTTCAACTGAATTCGTTACTTCCAGCTCAAACTATATACGTATGTGAAAAAGTTAAATGTATGCAAATAAATACATATAAAGATTACACATTCTAACTCACTAACTTTGGATCAATTCGCCATTTTACAATAATTATTATATCGTAAAGCAAGGCCTTAAGACCAGTAAGTTTCAAGGTCATATTCATATATATTAATATCAGGCATATAAGGTACATAACATTCTGTACTTATGACATTGGGCATATTCACGCCACAAATCTAATGCGTAGTTCATCAATAATTGACTCCAAATAATCACACAAATCACTGTAGCCTCAATCACCCAATCATATTCAAAATATTACAGAAAAATAGGGGTATGGCTGTCGTATTAACACTAGACACTACCATATTTATATGCAGCGAGCCGTCTTTATACTCGTCTTCCATTGATGCGAGCAAAACTTTTCAACCGTCTTCAAAGAACAACTTTAACTCATATGTAACTATGTTGTCGTTACGCCAACAACAACATTGCTCACCTGGAAAAATGTAGAAATTGTATCGTTAATAATATGGCAGACAACTTGAATCTGAAGAGACCTAATAAATAAATGAATGAACAAATAGATGCTTACCAACTTTCCACTCTCATCGACAGACATTGGGTTTTGAACGACGACAGTTTGGTTTTGAGAACGAGCCTTGGCCTAAAGCAGATACAAATACGTTTCAGAAGTCAATTCTAGTCAAATTAGAAAATTGTAAAACAGAAAGAAACATATGCAGCAGACTGATGAACTCACTGTTGAAGAAGAGGATCCTGAAGCAGGTGTTGCAGTGCCGCTAGGTACATGGACTCTTCCATCTCCTGCCTGCAACGATAAATATATAAACACATGAAAACTGAAATTTATTATCCCAATCAGGTAAGCATGCAAGTATCTTAAAAGATGAATTAGTAACTACCAAAGACCTGATTTGGGCTAAAGCTTAACCGGCACAGGAGAAATCAACGACTAACGTGTTTTACAGTTTCCATATCACTTTTTTTTTAATCTTTGCTTCTTTAACCTTCTTTTTTTCTTTTGCCACAATTGACAACATCAACTACTTATAAACTTCTCCAAATAAAAATTAAAAATCAATCAGGATGATTATATATCTCCTTGCGTTTGCATTTATTTGACTGGTGATGTTGGTATCACAAGCTCTAGACCATAATTCTTCACGAGAGAAAACGATTCGAAATCTTCTTCCCACGTAAGCTTCTCCATAAAACTTCTACAAGGTTTTAAATTTCAGCCAAACCGCTCACACTTTTATTTGCAGTAGTCCTCAAAAAACATTTTCAATTTAGCCTACTTGCTTTATAATCCATGATATGCAGCAAGGATTAGTCGCTTTCAATGATTCTACAAGTTCAGACTATAAGTTATTCTCTGATTGTAACAAGATAGATAAATACTCTACAACTATATAGAAAATATTTTACAGAATATGCATAGAATCTAATTCTTATCTTTGGAGCTCTCGGAAAACTCACCCAAATCAAGCAAATTCTTTGTAATGTATTTTCTAACATTAAATATCATTGAAATGGCAGCACACGAAAAAGCAATTCAACATTAAAAAAGTTAAAGCAGAACAACCCCAGAGCTTTGGTCCTGTAAGATCTTACAACACGTGATAGCTGGGTTAGGCACACATCATAGGTTCGAAACCTGTCGCACTGGTATTTAAGTGGAGAAGGATAGAGGGACAAACTCATTATACACACCGAGTTTCGAACCGTGCGCCATTAGCCCTCTGTGTATGTGTGTGTGTGTTTGACGAAGCTAAATAAGCACCACTTCTTTAGGAAAGAGCAGATTGTTATAGACTAATTAGAAACGGGAATAATAATGAAATATACTGCATCCAATTGAATTCTCATGCACCAAAAGCATAATATTAAAATCCATTCTTTTTTGTTCTTATCTTTTTCTTAAGTAACTGTGCAGGTGCGTCTGCATAGGAAAAAACAGTAAGCTATATGAAGCATCAGCCAAAACTTTTCAGCAAAGATCAAAAAGAAAAAGAGACATCATACTCACATTAACATTGGTAATATAATGGCATATTGCACATTTAACTGACGGAGCTCCACATGGATACATCAGCATCATACGGCAGTTTCCACAGTAGACGTGAGCAAACTGGTTAGGACCTGAAGCATCAGCAAAGTTACATGTTGTCCAGGAAATTCTTCGAAATAAAACTGGCAGATGTAGACAATGGAGCCAGAAGTCTAAGTTCTAACTAGGCCACTAAACCCTCAAACCAAAACCACTTATCTAGTTTATTTACCTTCTTTCACATTATAAAAATTCTAGTGAAAGATAGAGTATGCAAACTTTTTGGGTCTAATCCCCTCTTGATGCAATGCATCAGAGATAACTACTCATCTATTCATCTTATAAACACTTTCGTTACAGCTTAGCTCTAGTAAAAAACTAAAAGGGCACCTAATTTTGCACACAACATTACTACCAATTGCCCTTGCCACATCACAATTTTAGCATGGTATACAAATGTTGTTTCCTTCCTGACCATCATCCAACTTGAAATTATGTAGCTTTTGACCAAGGGCAAAACTTCCCAGCTAGCATGATACAGAAGGTAGAAACCAAGGGGGAAACCATTACGTTTGGGCAGGAAAGAGTTAATTCACCATACACCCCACTCTGATTGCTCATGTACAGATTCCACTAATATTTTCTTAACCCCACAAATGACACATATAAACAGATTTAGTCAGGCTTACATGGATTCTAGGAAGAGAATCTAAGATGTCATAAGCAGACAAACAATAGTCTCAGAAATCAAGAAAAAGGAAGTTTCAAATTTGTACCTGGGACAAGGTTCACCGTGTGACAGCAGGAGCATCTCACACTGCTTGCACCCCGTGGATGCATGAGTAATGTACGACAGCCTCCACATATCAGTTGAGCCATTTCCATTCCTGCAGAAATATCACAAAAGCAACACGTTCAAATAACAGAAATTAACATGGAGGGGAGAGTGGCTCAATCCAAACAATTGCCACAGAAATTTGAGACAGATACCAGGAGGTGGGACAGGGGTGAGTGCATTGCACACTGCACAGCAGACATTAGAAGCTCCTCTCGGATAAAGAAGAATTGTCCTACACCCACTGCACATTAACTGACTCTGCATATCTGCATGACAGAATTTTTTAAATCAAATAGACATGCCAAAGCTCACTGGCTGCAGTTGTGAAGGTTGCAATAAATTTAAGGGGTTAACTTAATCCTGATTAAAAGCATAATTGGCCTAACAATTAAAAGTGGATGAGCTGAGACAACAAGGTTTCACCTTCCAATATGTTTAAAAGAGCCAATTTTCTGTGGATCCGTGGTGTAAATATATTCTTCCTGCTTGACAAAATGAGAGAGAATAAAAAAATACTTTTCTTCAAATTAGAACCTAAAAAGTATCAAGCAATTTCCTTTCAAGTTGCTGAAGGTTGAATTTACAATTCTTCGTTCTTTTCTAGGAATTCATAAATGATCAATAATAATTCTTATCTAGAGTTTTTATATAGATATAGAAATTGCTTAATCAACAACTAAAAATAATCCAAACTTTAACCATAAACAAATACACCCATATATCAAAAGACAATCCAAATTACCAAGATACAGCATAAAAAAGCTACCTTATAAATCTGAAGGACAAATCTGAAGAATAGGTACCCTCTATATATATTCCCACAAGAAAATATATACAGTAAAGGGTACTTGAAATTGGAATTTTAAGCGAAAAATTCGATATAAATTGGGGATTTCTAGATTTGAAGGTTTGAAGATTTCGATAGATTGGTTTTTATTTTGGATATCTTTCCTTCCTACATCTCTTTTCCTTTGTTTTCTCTGTTTTACTGTTTTTTGTTCTCTTTAATACTTTCTATACTCTTCTTCTCCGTTAAAAAATGGGAATAAATGCTTTTTCACCTTTCTTGAAAATTAAAATATAGGAGAAAAAAATAAGAAAAGGCTTTTGAAGCGGAATAGAAAACATTCGGGAAAAATAAAAGGGAAAATAATTGGCTTTTAATTTAATCCAAACGCGTAAACTTTTTAAATGTTTTTTTCCTCGGTTGACTTGAAGCAAAGAAGATCTCTACATAAAATTTTAGAAGTAAAAAAAAAAAAAAAAAAAAAGATACAGAACCGACTGACAGAGATTTTGTCCCAAAAAAAATGAAGGGAAAAATGTCAAATATATTGGTGTCCTATCTATCTATATCTATATCGAGTCCGAAATTGAAATGATATCTTTTTGGACATAAAATACGTTTATACAGTTAAAAAAATTACATTTTTACATAAAATACAGTATAAATAAAACGCAATATTATACTGCATTTTAATAAAACACAGCATAATACTGCATTTTACAACAATTTGGGCCCACCAAATAAGTGTTCTGCAGGACTAACAATTTGTTTGTTAGTGTAAAACGTATTATAATATTATTTACTTAAAAGTAGCATTATACTGTGTTTTATTCTAATTTTTGGGTCTACCAATAAGTGTTCTGCGGATAACTGACATAACAATAATTCAAATACATAAAACGTAGTATTATACTGCATTTTACATAAAACAAATCTGCACCCCAAGCTAGGACTTGCCTTATTTAAAGGCGTTAGAATTTTATGAAAATCTATTCAAAACTTTCCTTCAAACTTCCGTTCATACTTCTCTTCTTCTTATCAAGCATTTTTTTATAATGTCTGAGGAGCCAAAAATAAGGGTGTCATTATATTGGGAGGGGGAGGTGAGGTTGTAATGGAGAATAACTCTATGAGGTATAGTTCACCTCCACAGTGTCATGTTAAATTGCCGTTTACAATGGAGTACGATAAATTGGTATCGTTGTTATGTAAAAAAATGAGTGTGAGGAAACGTTCGGTGAACCTTAAAGTAACTGGTAAATTTCCGTATTCTGTGACTCCGTAGGGGTTTACTTATTATTCTGAGTTTAACATCGAAGATGATGAAACTCTTAAAGATTTTTTGCGGATTCCGGATGAATACAGGGAATTTATTGAAATAAAATTGTTGGAAATGTACGTCAAGGTTGAAGACGTTCCCAATAATGAGGGTGTGCATAGTAGGGATAATCCCCAGTCATCGGGTGGTTATTCTGGAGCAGTTTTTGCCGGACAGATTCCTGATGAAAGAGCTTGCCTTGATTTAAACTTGTCACCACCGGCGAATGAGCAAGCACAAAATAATTTTTCGACTTTATATAATTCACAAGATAACTAGTAAATTTCAATTTTTCTACGCTTTAGCTATGTTTATTTTATGTTTGAATTGGATTTGTATTAACACTCATATTTTTCATAGGGGGACCGTCCGGATATAAATTTTACAAGCTATGACCCCGCTCCTAGTTGGAATATGCGTAGTTCTGGCGTGTTGGACCATGTTGGTCCATCCGGGAGTCATCATCAACAAGAAAATATCCATCATGGAACGTCAACACAGTACGGCTTGTAAGTAAAGTGATATAGCTATATGTAAAGTATTTATCTAGTTGAGTAGCTTATCATTTTCTTCTTCTTGTGCAGTGAAAACGAGCAACTTGATGTTCCTTATGAGCACATGATTTTTTCCCTATATGAAATACTCCTATAAAATCCAAGAAAAATAGATTTTTTTCTTAATTATTTGCCATTCTTAGGAATTTTGTAGATTTTTATTAATTGATTGCATTTCGTGCATGTTTAAGTTTTATTTAAATCATGAAAAAATGCCAAAATATCGTGCATTGCATTTTGGATTTGTTTTTACATTTTTTAAAATTAATCAATAATTAATTGTTTATAAAAGTTTGAAAATCACAAAAATAGCTCACTTTTACATTTTTTGTCTTTTAATTTTGGTTTATTAATTTTTCCTCTTTTAATTTAGAATTAAGTGATGTTTACAATTTTTATAATTAGTTAATTACTTTAGTTTCACATTTTTAGATAATTTAGGATTTTTAATTTAAAAAAAAAGAGAAAATAAAGAAAAGGAAAATTTGAAATAAAAGAAAGACTTGGAAAAGAATTCAAATTGGGCCATCTTCAAACACCCAAATTCGGCCCAATACTTCCCCTTTCAAAATCAATTAAACTAACCCAACCCTTTCCACCGGTTCAGCCCAGCAAAAATCGGACTGACCCGTCATTTTGTGACCCGCCCGGTGCCCTTGAATATAAAATCCCTCTTATAACTTTTCCACATCTCAAATCCTAAATCTAGAGAACCTCAGAAGCGGCGCACCCTACTGTTCCTTCATCTTCCTCAGCCTTCAACTCACCTTAACTCGCTTAGAACTCGAGCGAGTTCACTCGAATGGTCCCTTCGCCTCCACGTCACCTTCATTTCCAATGGATTTGTCAGAAGAGTACGAATATTCTCTCCTAAATCGCATGATCTCGGGTACGAAAGGACAATTATTGGATGAATGGGAGCCGTGGATAGATGTGAATCAATCCACACCTTCCATTTGTCCCAAAATTGTTCAAAAACCTGAAGATTTTTGGAGTTTTGAGCAGATTTTTTGAGTTTTTTTCGAAGGCTCTATATAAGGTAAGTTCTATGTGTTAAGGAAGAGCGAGAAAAATCGGATAAAAATATTCAGAAAAACTTAGTCAAATTTTTTTAGGGTTTTTCATTTGTCACCTCTTCAGACCTTCTTCTATTTTTTCTTCAGAAAACATACAAAAAAAAAGGCATCATGGTTTGAGTTCATTTTTTTCAGTTGAGTTTACTCCATTCTTTTTTTTAGAGAAAAAATCAAAAAGAAAGTACTGAAAACAGAGTCTTTAGCGTTTGTTCTTTGGCTTGGAGTTCTGTTTCTCAAGGAAGCTTGATTTAAAGGTTCAAGTTGAAATCGAGTTTTCTTTTGGAGTTCAAAATTTCAGTCTTGGCTTGGTTTCAAGTCAGTCGATTCTTGCTTTCTTGCTGCTGTTAGTTTCAAGCTTTGAGTCGTGGTTTGTTCGAGTTTAGTTTAAACTGTTGTAATCATTGAAGTTTCACTAATTGAAAGCTCCGATTACAGGTTCATCTTTGTTCATTCTTTTGCTTTAAATTTTAGTATCGAGAAATAAAAATGTTGAACTTTGTTGGATGTTATACTAATCTGCACTCGTATGACGTTTAACTATTTCATTCGAATGCATTCAAATCGAACTTGCTGATTATGCTTAGTCGTTGTGTGATTCATTGTTACCTCGAGTCTAGACTATTAAATCCAGAGAAGCCTAATAAGAAGGTTTTGGAGTCATTATGTGAACACAGACATGATATAATCTTATAATTAGACCATTGCTTCTTCAATTTATGTTCCAATAGCATGATATAGAGTTATTGATGAGATGTTGAGTCTGTAAGTAATGTAACATTCTTTTGTATGAATTTAGACATGAATTAGCTTGTTGAATTTTCCATGTTGTGTTCAGTTTAGCGTTAAGGATTTGTTATTTGATTATTTTTTTTGAGTTCTTGAAATGTTTGTCCAATCGTAGCATCTCAGCTTTTCCTACTTCCTGCCCTACTTTCTTGGCCCATTCTGGTTTCTTAGCTTGTCAAAGATGTTGTTTTCCTCTTCTTAGCTCAATATTGTATGTAACTGTCTCCCACTCTTACACTATTTTTTGGTGGAATGCAGCCTTCCATTTGTTTGGTGCTGATATTTTCAGTCGAGTTAGTTAAAGGAAGTTTAGATTTGAATAATTCTTTTGGAGCTTAAGAAAGGAGTTCTAAAAGACTCTTTAGGGAAAGTCCTTTCTTTATGGTATTTTAAGTCACTAGGACCAAATGGGTGCCCCAAAATTGGTATGGAATCAGTAGGAGTTACGACCATGTTACTTCAAGTGAAATAATTGATGTTGGTTTAGTTAGAGCTTTGGATTTGCTGCTATTATCGGCCTAAAATTGGTGCAGAATTTGTCAGTTGCACCATTATCTTTGGGTGTGTCTGTGCGTGTTTATCTTGTGATGTGTGTGATTAGGTGTGTCTTTGTGTTATTTAGATAGGTTATAAACTGGTGATCCTTCATCAATCTCTTTAAGGTCAAAAAACCATGTTAACTTGTTATGCAAATTGGCATTTCTTCAGCATTTGTAACCAGTGAATCGCTGCTTCTTCTTTCATTTTGGTTTTTGTCTGTTCATTTACTTTAAGTTAATAATGCATTGTGGTGAGACATGAAACCAGAACTCCTTCTTACTTCACTACCATGTTGAATTCTATGGCTATTTGATTAAGGAGTGTATAATTTCTTCCTGTTTTGTCAATTATGCAATAATCTCTTTTGAGCCTCAGCAATTATCTTTCTTTTGGCTTGCCTTAGGTTTAATTGTATGACTTGCATCTGGGCTCAATTCTGAGCCCAATAAGTGTTGATGTCTTTCTCTCTTCTCTTTTTAAAGAAAAGAAGAAGGGAAGTCTACGTTAATTCTATGGGCCTGCAGTTGGCCCAGATGCCTGGTGCGATCAGCTTGGGCCTGCTGATTGGCTTTACTTTTTTAATCATCAGTTTGGGCCTAAAGTTCGGATGTAAATGTCCTAAGTTTAATCAAGTATAATCCTTTTAAAAATGATTGGAGGTATGCCATTTTCGCTAAAATTACTTATGACCCTCGTATAATTAATAATAACTCTTTAAGATCGAGGTGCGCCATTATTAAATTTTCCATGGCCCTCGCAAACCTCTTAATAATTTGAACAATTTTAGTTTGTTTTAGGCCCGATTTATATTAATATTGCTATTATATATACGTCCGCGTAATATAATTGCAAATTTAACTCTAAAAAGACTCGAGGGATGCGTTTGCGCACCTTCAACCAAACTTTCTTAATAAATCAACGAAAGCGTTATTAAT